GGATATTGAAAACCACCTGACCTATCTGATTACGTGTTTGAGAAAGTCGCTGCAATGAACGTGTTACACGAGGTAGTTCATCTGCTGTCGAGTACTCTTCAGTAGAATTATCTGTGGGAGAAGTAATGGTACTTCTGGATGACTTCCTGAAGTGATTGAAAGCGGGTCTCCCCCTCTTTCCTTTAGATTTTTTCAAGGTGCTGCTTGAATTCTGATCTTCCTTCTTGGTTTCCGTACACATGAAACTTGTGATACTCGTTTGTACTCCTCCTTAAAAATTGAAAATGTCACATCAAAGGTTGGTAGATTATGGGAAACTGGTAAGCAGATAAGTAGCAAAATAAAAAAGTGTATTTCAAGAAAGGAAAGATTCTGAAACAGAAAATAATGACAAAGAACTTCAAAACCTACCCGAGCCAGAATTTTTCACTCGTTTCAAAGGCAGCGAGTTTGACAACCCCATAGGGGTCCTTTTCCAACCACGACGACCATTGACACTCACTTCAAATCTGCGGTCATTTTCAACAGGTGTATCTGTATCCGACTTCGGAGATTTTGCAGAAGTGGTTGGTTGATCATCGCAAACACATGATCTTTCATTGCGAGTCAAGGCAATATTGCTGATGGCAGTTAAAGTTTCCGGTGTCTAAATAATATTCAATTAAACTGATGAAATGAAAATGCTGTATCCAAAAAAAAGTTAAAGCTTATTTTGATCACTTTAAGGAGCTTAATAATCAAAAGTCTTCCATTAAAAACAAAAAAATGTACCAAGTTACGTTCTGCAGCTTTAAAATATTTAAGACCTATCCTGTTAAGTCGATGTCCATACTTCCAAAACCACTGATTGTGTCGATTGAAAGTTGAGCAATTATGCATCATTAAAACAAAATCATCTTTTATATTGGAAAGTTTTTTATACTCGCCACGAGCAAGCTTCCTTCAACAAATGAGATTTAATACAGCGGGTACAATAAATTGTTAATACTAAACTGAAAAACGAAAGGAGATGTGAAAAATAACGACGTACTTTCTCATTGTAGACAAATCCATCGGATTCTTAATGATGGTGGAGTATCCAGGAACTTCTTTATCAGTCACAGGATTAGCAAAAACCTAAATCTTTGCAGTTAAACAAATAGATCAATTGAAGAACGATAAAAATAATATTGAATAAGAAAGTAAAAAAAGATGACAATAGGGAAAATAACAAACATTGCTATAATCTTTGCTTGTAATACTATCTAGAACATCACTCATGACACTATGAAGAGGCTTCGTGTAACGATTGACCATGGAGGCACAGTGAGTATACTAAAAAAAATCGAAGTCAAAATTACATACAAAAATAAGGCGACTAAAACAGTAACCCTTACGTATTCCAACTTTAACTTTTCACGTTTTTTGACCAATTCACATAATAAACGAGTTCTTTCCAGCCAGTTCCTAATAACAGAAAAAGCATTTTCATTAGTTTCCTCAACAGTATCGTTCTCGCTAGAACCCTCTACCCGTTGAGACTTGTGATTTTGCTGTAAAACAAGTTTACAAACAAACAGTCAGTATCAAAATTGCAGGAAGTGAGATGGCTGAATTCCAAATATTTCGAAAAACCAAGACCTCAATGAAAAAGTAGAAGAAAACTATGAGCTTCCAAAATTAGCTTAGAAGTTATGACAAAAGATTTAGTTGGTACCATTAAACGTCTTATAAGAGGAACGCCGCAACGAGCGCTTCTCTTTTGCTCCCAATATTTTTGCACATGCTGCATGGTTGTCTCACTAATACCAACCTCATAGCGGATATTCGACAGCCTTAAAAAAGTACAGAAGTAATATAAAGACATGAAAAACCTAAAAATGAACATGAATGATACACGTACGTCTGACTCGAAACAGTCGGAAGAGAGAAAGGTGGTGCTTCGTGAGACCTTGCCTGCAGTTTTTCTCTCGCTTTTTTCATTAACTCGTCCTAAATTAAAGTGGCTAACAAAAATTAATTCTATAAACAAAATCAATATTGCTTGTCATCTTAAACAAGTAAGAACTTTATTCTCCGAATTTCAAACATAAACCAAAACTTTGTTAACATTTTTATTGAACGCACCATTTTCCGTTTCATTTTCGCCACGTCACTTCCAGAGGAAACTTCTCTAAAAACAACCGTTTGAACAAACAGTACACTAGATGAATTTGAAAAAAAATAAACATATGTATAATTCTTCGCATATCGGTATAACAATCAAAATGTAAAAGCAAGCTTAAAAAATTGAAAGAGCGAAACTCATAATGAAAAAAACCTCTTGAACGCGGATGAATGATAATGACAAGAAGCCAAATATTTAAAGTCGCATTCGGAATTAGGTTTATTTATAGTGACTGTACGCATTTCTAATCCTGCCGTGCGAGCACAGGTGACGTGAAATGATCGAGTGCACGATTTCTGAAGCATAACCAGCGTTCAGCGTTCACGACTTGATTAGGCGTTAAATTTGAGTCGAGTTAAGACACACTACTTCAAGTAAAATCAAGTAAGCATTAGCAGAAAAGCTAAAAGAATAATATTAATCAACCTTAGAGCATTGTAAGCATGCTCCTCGCTTTTGCTTACAAACAATACAACGGAGCCGCCGTCGTATTCTTAATGATTCTTCAACCCCGTCAATTGGTTCCAAGAAAACGTTATTTGCAAAATGTACCTTTAAAATCTCGTTGTTAAAAATCTTAAAACAACAATTTTTTAAAAAACCAAGAATTGACATGAAGAACTCCTAACTTCGTTCAACCAAGTTGCACAAACAACATGAGCCCATCGGCCGTCCACAGTTTGTTTAAAAGCACCGTGTGAACTAGGACAGAGGACACACTCCACAGGTGATGATGGTGACAACTGGCACTTTCGACACAACCAAATTCCTTCAGGAATATACGGAACACCATAACAGTCCTAAAACAAAGAGATGATTTTCAGTATCATTTGCCCACTTAAAACAGTTACGCAAAGCCATCAAAACGCAGACCTGGTGCACCGGAATATTACACATGTCACAAAAGATGATTTGGTTAACATTACTGACTTCACCGTCATTGCATATACAGCACTCTGCATCTTGGTCCACAGAATGATTGTAAAAACCCATTGCTCCTTTAGAGCACTAAAGTGAATATTCCAAAATTTGCATTTTCGAATATAACAAGTAACGAGAAGAGAAATATTTCCCAAGAAAAATCTACAGCTAAATACCTACTTGTAGAAAAAACCAAGTCTAAAAAGAAACGCGTTTTGAACTAACAAAAAAAAAGCCTTATTTCATCTAAACTGTGAAGTTCAAGTGGTGAAAAACGAAAGAAATTTGAAAAACCTGGAAAAAGCTTTCTTTTTCCAAACGATCAATAACTTTTTCAAAGGTCTCCTCAGTCAGGAACTCCTCGTTCTTCATTTCTTTATTAAACAGTCGTAACCACTCAATATCCTATAACGATATATTTCAGTATGATAAAACTCCAGTAAGAAACAAAAATACACCAAAAAACAAAAAAGCTACAATCCGATGCAATGAAACAATGGAAAAAACAAGGGATTGCCCTTAAGAGAAATTTACAAATCACATTTTGAAAATCCTTACTTCTTCATCTACTTCGTATTCCACTAATGCGTCCAACTCCTCGCTTGTCTTCATCTTGAACTTAACGTAGTCCTTAGGGCATACAAACGTTGTCCCAGCCACGCGCTGTAATACTCTCACTCCTCGTTTTGGTAAAGTCACAGCATTACGAGTCTAAAGCACACCTATCCACATTAAGTTTTTATTTGGCAAACAAATAACAAAAGTTGTAACCCGTAAAACCACCAAGTTCCCAACAAAAAGATTTAAAAGACATGTAAGAAATTACTCCACGATATCTTGCAAATACTGCATCAGAACGTTTCGATGATGGAAGCGAGCTGTCTTCAACAAATCGTACTTGCATTGGCTGCATAACATTGACATGTACAGTTCGCCCATTGATGCAGACATCAACTATCTTTTCAGGAGGTAGCTGGACTTCACCAGGAGTCCTCATTGCCTTTCAAACTTAAAATGACGCTTTTTAATCGTTTTTACTACAGTGGATATTATGATCAATTCAGTACCGCCTCAATTAACTTCCACTTCAATATATATA